TATTTTTAATATTAAGTGATATCAATCATAAAAGATTTGTTAATATTTTTATTATTAAATTTTTTCAAATTTAGCAATAATTCGGTAGCTGAATAATATAATTTTGACTAGTGTTGGAAGTATGAGTAGATTTTTTTTCTTAATACTTTCTTGCTTATTTAGTTATAGTAGTAACTAGATTTGAAATATATATGAAATCATTAGTTGTTTATATATATAAAAATAACAAGTAGTATATTTGAAGTTCATATTCAATTCATTTTAGAATTCGATAAGACTGTTTCAATAAATCTTGTTGTTTTATAATCTTTGCTCTAATTTGTATATACTAGCTTGAAATAGGACTTTTACAAATATTAGCAAGAATTTGAACTACTTTTTATTCTCTTATTGTTGATATGGTTGTATTGATTAACTAGTTCAAAAACATTATTCTATTTCATTTTAAAGAAATGATGACTTTTATATATTCCTTTTTATCATTTATAATTGTTTTGATAAATATGATACCTCCTTGAGTGTCAAATATCTTTTTCCATCTCCAGCTGTTATATGTAATCTGTAATTTCTTTGCCATATCTAGAGTTACAGTAACAAGATTATTTTTCTCAATTATCTTGACTTCTACTGGATTGTCAAGTATATTTTTAGGCTTTCAGTATTTGAGTTAACTTTATTTAAGTCAGATGATTGTTGCAATTCCTGAAGCTTCACTATTATTTAGTTAATAGAACAGTATTGTTATATAACTTTTGAGTTGAATTTCTTATACACTTTTGAGCCCATAGATTTGTTTGTAGTATATGCAACTATTTGACATTGTTTTACAAATTGGGACTTTGTTTCTGAAAGCTTTCCTATATATGGATGTTAAATTGTTGCAAACTTTGTTATTCAAGTGTGTGTATTATATTCTGTACTTTATACAAACTCTATTAATAATGTATCTGGCATGTTTTTTAATTATAATATTTAAACTTTTATTTTAATAAAAAGATAATAATAACTAGTTTTTTTTTTTAAAAAAAGTATTTTTACTAATTTTTTAAATAAATAAATTGATAAAAAGAATGAAATGAGGTTGCTATTATTAAATAGAAGAATGGGTTCTGAACAAGTGATAATACAATTCTTTTTGGAAATAGTAATCGAAAACTTGATGAAAAGTATTCAACTTTGTTACCATTATTTCATATATTTTCTCTCACCTTTTGTTTTATACAGTAAATTGCTGCGTAAACATACACCCATTTTTTTACTAATAATTTTCTTTTTTTAAAAGTAACAGACCCGGGTGCTTTATGCGGCAATTTACAGTAATTAATGTAAAAATACATTATTCTTCGAATTTAATTATTTTATTCCAAGATTTTCTTGAATAATGCACTGTATACTGTATATGCAGATGTAGATCCTGGAGTTGCTCATTTGATTTTCGCTGGTTTTAATAATGTGCAGGTCTAACGATGAGTTCTTACAATGTTAACTTTGAGCAAAGTGCAACGTTGCATAAAGTCTATTATTAGTTGGACAAGTGGATACGGACATTGAACATCATTTCAACATACTATGCTGGAAATTTCCGACGTGGGGACGTGAACATTAGATGAAGTCACTAAACGCTCGCTTTCCTGCGCAACTCTACCTCAGATTCATCTAGTTGCCGATCTAATTTAATGATGATAAGAATTTTCGAAACTTTGGTAACTCACCAGTCGTTGTGCATCACACACAGTATCTTCTCGCTATAGTTATTTCTCTATTAAGCAGTTTATAAATAAATTCACAGTCGGAAAATAAAATATTTCCCAAATTCCCAAGGAAATAACCATTTTTAATCATCGTTAGGACCATCCAGTACGATTTCCTGAATTTCGGTTGCAATTTTCATTGAATTTGAAACGTTCTTCTGATATCTCGCCACTGATGGTTTTGAATTTATCATGTAATCTTTGAACTCGGACATAGATTTCTGACATGACGTTTTTAAGTTCGCTTAGGTTAGTATTCACTAATTTTAAAATTCCAATGTAGAAATAACAATACCTTATAAGTTTCCCTCAAAGGATTCAACTTTGCCAGATTTATTTTGATGTTTTTAACTTTATCCATGTGCCCAGCTTTTGTTAGCATTCCTTTGAAGTAATTTGCCTGTGTCATTACGATAGCAATACAAGCGTTTGTTAAACAAAGAATTTATTATAATCGTGTAATGACGCAATAACTAGATACCTCTTGGATTTCTATTAGGCTATAGGCGTCTCCCCGGCGACCGGCTCTAGCTGTTCTCCCGACACGATGAACATATTTTTTCATATACGCAGGGACGTCATAATTGATTACTGTGTCCACACGATCCAAGTCCATGCCTCGTGCGATCAAATCAGAGCAAATAAGTCTAGGAACAATGTGAGCAGACGTATTAGGATGCAATGCGGAATTTCAGCTTAACCAATAATACCAACAATCTAATCTCGCCGCGCTTGAACTTTCTAAGAATATTTTTTCTCTTTTCCTGAGATAAGTCGCTGGAATACTCGGCTGCCGTAATCACTAATTTTCCACCTTTCTGATTTGTTGCTTTGTCTGCGCTTGTATCCGTTGAGGTGGGGTCATCCGTTTGCGCGTACAAATTTTCAAATAATTGAATCAATTTAGCAAGTCTACGGGCAGAATCTACTGATTTTGTGAAACAAAGTGCTGATGAAATATTAAGATAGTGAAGAAGGTAGAGAACTACAAGAGGCTTCTCGGTCGAGGAAGTGACAATCATAAATTCCTTAAATAATGAAAATTGCCGATGCATTAGATAACTAGATCGATTTTGAAATTTTTCATTTCTAACTCCAATAGAGAAGCAATGCATACCCTTAAACTGCTTGGAAGGGTATACTTTATTTCGGCTTCACTAAATTCAGATGGTTGCACCGAAATGTATTGTGGATTTACTAAACGAAGACTCGCAATCTTGGCCGGATTTCGTGTAAGGGTTGCCGAGAATAATAATTTTTGGATCTTGTCAATGAATGTCAAATATAAAAAATAGAATTAATTGTCCGAGGCTTTAAATATTTGCGAGCAAGAGCAAAGAATTATGGTACCGTTGGCACTTTTGCTTCAGAGATTTCAGTCTTTGGAACGGGCATAAAATTCTCCATTAATTGATAAGAAACAGGGTCATTTTTTGGTACCCTTTTCGTAAAAAATTCATAAATCAATATCACAGGAGTACGCCAAATCCTTTCTCATTCTCATGAATCAAGTAAACCCAACTCGAAAGAATCCAATTCTATTCCAAAAAAATCTTTTTTGTTCTGAATTGTCGCCCTTGCCTGAGTAGACCTGAGAACATGTGTCAACCAATCCTGATAACTCTGATTAAGTAATCGGTCAGCCTCATCTATGATCTTTATTTTTTTGAAAAAAAAAAGAAGAAAAGATCAATGAATAAATAAATGTTCCAAGTGAAGCTTTTCGATGTTATATATTAAGAAATCACAAACCAAGAATCGCAAATGTTGTAATGTAAAATTTGGCGTTAACGAGATATGTTCAATCAGCCGACCGGGAGTAGCAACCAATATGTCAACTTTACTTTTTCCTCCTAATTGACTATATAGTTTTAAGTGGTCAATGAAGTTTCCAGAGTGCTTTGAAAAGCGTGGAAAGAATAACATACTGTTCTTGTGAATCGCCTACTATTTGTTCTTGGTCACGAACAAAAGCCTGTTGACCTGTGACAGCCCCAACCTTTCTTTCCAATAAGAATTAATTTATAAGCGATCAGTCATGCCACATTCGTCCGTATCATGTCGCTAACCTTCAACGAAGTTCCTTTGCAAAAAGCCTCAAACGTTTCCTTAACTTGAATTACTAAATCTCTTGTTGGAAGAATGACGAGTGCTCTTAAACGTGTCACTACGCGCTTGGAAAGGACCTAATAATAAAGATTCTATCGTCGATCAAGTTATCGGCTTCCCGAAATTCAACGGGTTTCATTGAACATAAAAATTCTCGTAGCATTGCTGACCTCAACTATTGGTAACACGTACGCAAGCGTTTTCCCGCTTCCGGTTGGAGCAGACACGCATATATCTCCGGGTGATTGGTGTATATCCGATAGACTTCGAGAGCGTACCAACAAAGGAATCACTGCCGTTTGTACTATATTGTTGTTTGTTGATCATAATTCATCGTAAGTAATTAGGCGAGGGTGGCATTGACTAGTCTAACATCAGAGGAAAAATCTCATCTCTGTGTAGGACCTGCAAAACATTCATAGATCCCTAAGGCTTTACAACGCTTAACCAGTCGTTCCGATAATCTCAGAGAGGGGTGGTCGATTGTTAAGGTCACATCCGGTTCAATGGTGATAGGATGAGCTAGCCAATCCGGTATCCCTAGTAATTTAACGGACGCTGTTTCTTGCGGCGTCCGTTCCGGTTGTTCGAATTCGGGAAGGGTAAGTAACACATCGTGTTCTTCAAGATCCTCGGTAGAATTTTGCGAATTAGGATTCACAAGAGGGTGTTTATCTTTATAATTATCTTCTTCTTCTTGTTCATTCGAATTTGACTCCCGAGGCGAATTATGTTCATCCGGAATTTCCTCGGTAGTATCATGAATTTCGTATTCCTTAACGTTTTCAACACGCGCCGTTGTTTGTTCGTGTTTTTTTGTTCTCTTTCTCTTGAGTTGAACGCGTTCATTGATTTTTGTTAACAGTTCATTTCCAGCATTGGAAGCATCCTGCGTCGATTCTTCTTCAGAGTCATATCTTTGTATTTGAAACATTTCGAGCAGACGCCGAGGTTGCGTGAATGACTCGACTTTTTATAAACTTTTTAAATTGTGTAACTATCGATTCTGATTTGATAATCAGGACTTGATCGAGTTCGAGAACTCTACCAAAATTTTAAAATTGAGAAAATGGCTACTAGAAAGATTGGTATGTTTTGCAAAAAAAGAAAAAAAGGGAAAATAATATAAAAGGTTAAATAAGTTGCGCGCATGTAATTTTTCTGAATTATGCTCGCAAACATGCCTGCAAACGTCTCTCGAAATACGTTTGCCTTCCGGAGGTTTTATTTACTGAAAGTTTTACGTAAAACAATTTAAAGCAATCCTCTCGGTTTATGACAAAACTGGCTTAATTGAACTCGCCCAAGGGCTCGCGGAACTAAATATAGAGCTTATCGGCTCGGGAGGAACAGCAAAGAAAATTCGGGAAGCCGGAATTTCCATCTCGTAAGTACTATTTTATGACATTGTTGAACGCCTTTATTTGATAGATTAAAAAGCCATCTGGCAATTGCAATTATTGCAATTAACGGCAAAAACTGTGATCAATGCCACGATCAATTTCAAAAAACCATATGAGGTCGGAATATTTTATAAATAAATATTTATTATTACCTAGTGATGTATCCGAAAGGACCAAGGCTCCCGAAATTTTGGGGGGGCGTGTCAAGACATTGCACCCTGTGGTTCATGGCGGTTAGTCTCCCGTTGGTGTCACGTGACGTGATTTCTTGACCTAATCTTGTCTTCACCTTGAAACAGGAATTCTTGCTCGAGATATCCCAAGTGACAACGCTGACCTCGCTGCACAAGACATACACAAAATCGATTTTGTTGTTTGCAATCTTTATCCCTTTAAAGAGACGGTGGCCAAGGAAGGTATCACTATTGCGGAAGCTGTAGAAGAAATCGACATCGGTGAGGAGAATTAAAAATCCCGCTGGTCACTTTTAATCGAGACATGTAACAGATTATTCAGAGATTTCGTTGATTCGGCAGGTGGTGTCACACTTTTGAGAGCGGCGGCAAAGAATCACGGTCGCGTAACCGTCCTTTCGGATCCGAAAGATTATTCTAATTTTTTGACAGAATTAAGAGGTGGAAACATTTCCGAAGAGACGCGCCGATTGTATGCACTAAAGGTGATTATTGAGACACACATGCGCTTTAGTCGTGAACGGTTTTTCATGTCTTTTTTTTTTTTTTTTTTTTTTTTTGTGACAAATTTAGGCATTCAATCACACGGCTGATTACGATGAGGCCATTTCAAATTATTTCAGGCAGAAATATTCCGAGAATGTTTCACAACTTACTCTGCGCTATGGGGCTAATCCACATCAGAAGCCCGCGCAAGTTTTTGTCAAAGAAGGACAACTGCCAATTAAGGGTACGAATATTATCGTTTCCATGATCTTTAGAAAATTAATTAAAATTATTGATTTCTGTGCGTGAAGTTCTTTCTGGATCTCCGGGTTATATAAACCTCCTTGATGCACTTAACGGCTGGCCACTTGTCAAGGTAATTATCTCAATTTTAAATAGGGATTTGATATTTCAAAATTCAATCGATGGCGCTTATTATCGACCCAACCATTAGGAGTTGAAAGCTGCATTGAACATTCCTGCCGCAGCATCCTTCAAACACGTCTCTCCGGCAGGCGCCGCCGTAGGTCTCCCATTGTCCGACATAGAAAAGAAGGTTTATTTTGTCGACGATCTCAAGGAATTATCGCCTTTGGCGATCGCGTATGCTCGTGCGCGAGGTGAAAATTTGGACTAATTGACTTGAAATTTTCGTTAAATTATCATATCTGATCTTGCACCATTCATAAATAGGTGCAGACAGAATGTCTTCTTTTGGAGATTGGATTTCCCTGAGCGACATTGTGGATGTACCCACTGCAAAGATTATATCACGTGAGGTGTTCATCAATTAACATTTGGTGAATCGATGTTATATTGAATGCGATGATAGCTTAATGTGTATGTGTATTTTTAAAAGGTTTCCGACGGTATCATTGCTCCCGGTTATGAGGCGGAAGCGTTGGAGATTCTTCGCAAGAAGAAAGACGGAAAATATACCATTCTTCAGGTAGTACTTTATAAGAAATTCATTTTTATTATTCGACACCTAAAATTAATAATCTTTGCAGATCGATCCAACCTATGAACCCCCGGAGTTTGAGACACGCCAAGTTTACGGATTGTGTCTTCAACAAAAGCGTAACAACTTCCAGATTGACGCGAAACTTTTTGAAAACATCGTCACGGAAAACAAGAATGTACGAATGATCCTCTCGACGTCATAAAATTTAATCTCATCATCACTACAATTCGTTCGTTAACTTTACTCCTACTAGGTACCTGAATCGGCCATCACGGACCTGATCGTCGCAACCATCGCTCTCAAATATACACAATCTAATTCAGTGTGCTACGCCAAGAACGGCATGGTAATTGGTCTAGGTGCAGGTCAACAATCACGCATTCATTGTACGCGTCTGGCTGGTGATAAGGCCGACAACTGGTGGTTGCGTCATCATCCCAAGGTGCTCGCGTTTGACTTCAAGAAGTCAACAAAAAGGGCAGAAAAAAGCAACGCAATCGATCTTTACGTTCTCGATAAAGTTGGCGAGGTAATAGATTGTAGAGGTTCATTCAAGCATCATGATTCTAGATATCATATCATATATCCCACATATATTATAATAATAATCTTTTTTTTAGGGTATCGAACGTGCCTCTTGGGAATCTCAATTCAACACCCTTCCTGAACCTCTAACTCTGGAAGAACGCAAACAGCATCTATCAACACTTACCGGCGTTGCGCTTTCCTCCGATGCATTCTTCCCCTTTTCCGACAACATTCACCGCGCCCGACAATCCGGTGTCACCTATGTCGCAGCTCCGAGTGGTTCCGTGCAAGATGATGCGGTCATAAAAGTTGCTAACGAATATGGAATAACATTAATTCATACCAACATAAGATTATTTCATCATTAGATTTTCACAATTTATCACTTGGACGTTGTCTTTTTTGTTTAAACTGTATGTTACCATGTGTGTGGTGTCGAGTCAATGTAATGCGTTTTTGTGCGACCGAACCGAGAAATAAATATGGAAAATTCTATATTTGGAATACATGCACACAAGTTACCTAATTAGGTCTTGAAAGATTGATCATCAAGGCAGGACGAAACAAGGCCCAATTGCTCACAATACCAGAGAACATTTTACGTTTCGATCAATTAATAATTTGTTACAGGAAACAATGGATTCAGTAATTCTAGGATTGTAGCCATGTTAAAGGCAATGCGGATGCGTATATGCATAACTTAATTGGCCTACCTTTTTGACAACGGAACATTTTCTTTGCACGCAATTTGTATATAAGCGACATGATTTTCAATTTTTTACGGTAACCTCATTCTTTTACTGACTTTTTTCCTCCAATTTCCCTTTTAGAAGTCAGTAAGAAGATGAGGCTCAATAAAACATCGACATTATTTCTCTTTGTATTCTTTCTGATGCTTTTAGGAGAAATCGCCTTGTCGGCGCCTCGAAGGATTCCTCCAACATCTAGAACTCAAGCTCTGGTAGCTCCGACTAAAATGTCCAAAAGTTCAAGTTCGTCGGCTTCCCCGATTCATGGTATGCACATCATCATCATTGAAGAAATCTTCACCGTCAAAATATTAATCTCGTTTCTTTTTTTCAACTGTACTTTAGTGATTCACAAATCCGTCATAAAAAAACCCACAAAATCTTCGCTCAAAACTATCCATAAAAGTCGACCCTTGACGGAATCCGGAATTCCAAAGTCCAGAACTCATGCGGTAACATCCATCACTACCACTTTCCCTAATATGATGGCTACTCCGGATATCATATCCACACCCACTCCGCTATCTTCCGCAGCTTCCTCTAATGCTAGTAATAGATTCAAAGGATTTGCGATCTTCGTCATCCTTATTACATTAAACACTTTTTTTTAGAGCATTATTCTCGTTTAAGGAAAATAGTGTTGACAGAATTTACCCTAGACTTTCTATTTTAGCACAAAGGAAAAATAATATTGGCATCCAGAAAAAAAAAAATTTTTTTTATCAAAGAGAAATAATGCATGTTTTGCCTCAAAGAGTTCCAAGTTTTTTTTTTTTCGAACTCTACTTGTACAATTTATAAAGTCACATGATTAGGCTTTCCAAAAATCGTGTCTTCTCCAACTCGGCGGATCTCTTTTTCTATTGCTTTTTGATTCTCAGGAATTAACAAAATTTCTGCACGTAGTTTATCTTCTCAACTAATTGGCATCGGTTAACTACCGTGTTGGAATAAAGGACGTTTGCGAGAGGATTCAATTTTGGTGGAGTCTGGAAACTCGACTTTATTACTTTTGTTGTTTTCGCTTGCACTTATACCATCATTATCGAA